CATTTTTCTATTTTCAGTTTGAAACCTTCAGTGATCATAACTTCTAAAGCCTTGCTGATATGCTGAAGATGGTCTTCCCAATTCCGAGAAAAAATTAAAATATCATTAATGTAGTTTATGCAGAAATTGTCCAGGTTATTTCTTCTTATAATGTTGGATAGTATTCTCTGGAATATAGCGGAAGCATTTTTAATACCAAACGGAAGAACTTTAAACATAAATTTTCCATATTTCGTAATAAAAGAGGTCTTTTTCCCGATCCCGCTCACGAAGCGATATGCACCAAAATGCAGAATTGATGTCCAAAACGGTGAAGAATTCACAATTAGCTACTCTATCAATTACATCTTGAATAGTAGAAAACGGGAAACATTCAGGAACTACTAATTTGTTTAGCTTTCGGAAATCTATGCAGAGTCGAGATTTCCTCTTCTCTTCCTTTTTGTAGGCCAGTGTGACGGGCGAAGAAAACGGGGAGTCTGATTCTTCGATGATCCCAGCTTGCAAGAGTCCTTTTATTTGGCTTCGTATTTCTTCGTCATCCGGGATAGAACATTTATAAGGGCGAGAAGTGACAAACTCATCTCTGATTAGTTTTATTTCTGCTTCTCGTGAATGAACTTTACCTATGTCGAACTTGTCTTTAGCAAAAATATGTTGGTATTTTTTTAGTAAATATGAAATCTGTTTTTTGTGCTCCTCTTGTTCAATATGTTGTACACTTCTTAAGTTCTTACAAGTAGTTGTATTCTGGTTTTGAAGAGGACCGTATGTCTCAATCTGATCAAGTTTTGACCGTGTTAAATTTATATTTCTATCTTTTCTATCTATTCTATCAGAAGAGAGATCTTCTGATGTTATGATTTTTGTGTCATTGGTACGTTGCAAAATTCTTAGATTCTCATCTTGTAGTAATTTAAATTTCTTGATGGCATCTATACCTAGTAATAAATCATAGGAGAAATTATTATTCTTGACTACATATGTTGTAATGTAATCAGTAATGTTCTCCAATACGGAGTCTAATTTTAGCCCGGGCTGAGGTGAAATTAAGTCCGCCGATAGTTCTTAACGCTGCTCTTTGTTTAATTAACTTCAACTTCAGCAAATCAGCAATTTATTAATGTTACATTTGAGCCACTATCATAAATAGCCTTAATTTTAATACTGTCATTTATAACAACATTTAGTTTAATCAGCGGATCTAACTTCGCCCGGCTTTCTAGTTTAAATGTTCTGAATCAAGATCGATTTCGCTTAAATCGAGATCAGTTTGATTTATTTTTGGTTGGTTTGGAGTTTTATTTTTGTTACGACATTCAGACATTAAATGATAACGATTGTGAAAACCGAGGGTTTCGCAGTGAGAACATGGCTTACGCTGATAATTACTCTTATGCTGTGGTTCGCCTTTTTTAAAATAATTTAAAGCGGGATTCACAATAGATTTTGGATTTGATAGTTTTTCTTCCTTCTTTTTTATAAACGCATCTTCTAATTTTCGTAGTTTTGAGTATAATTCATACAAATTACAAATTTTTTCTCGATCGAGTTTCAACTGAGCCTCATTTGGCAAACCGAAAACAATCTGGTTTATACGGGAGATCTCCGTGCCTTTAGGCTCTATGTCAAGTAATAATCTCTCCTTGGTGAGGGCATAGTCGACTAGGGATCCGCCTAAATATTTGTAGCCTAAAGCTCTTTTCACAAGAGACCAGCCTTTATCAACAAAAATATTCTTAAAAGAGTCCCTCCATATGCCCCATGAATCGTTCAGACCAATCTTCTTTAAATTATTCTCATACCAATCATTAGCCGGACCATTAATGAGATAAAAACGTAACGCTTGAATTTTTAAATTATCGGATTTTATCTGAAATCGACAACATTCTTCTTCGAACCTACGTAGCCACTCTATAGGATCTGATTGCTTTTTATCAAATGGTTCTAAAATAAAATTTTTTTCAATATGATGCAGTTTAATTTCATTTTGTTCCGAATTAATTTTTAATTGCATCTCTAATCGTTTAATATGATCTTCTAATTCTGATTGAGTGTCTGTAGGTCTGCAAGGAATTGTTTTTGGAAGACATTCCTCCAATGGTAACTCTCTAAAACAAATATTAGATGATTCATCAAAATATTCCTTTTTAATGTCATCATCAATCTTAACCCCTATTGTTCTATAACCATTAACATTTTTTATAGCATACACAGCATTTAATAAAGGTTTCTTACTTGATAGAGACGTATGAAATTTCAAGTCCTGGGTGTCTTCTGGTAATAAAAACCAATTTCTTTTGTCGACTGAAACACAATGAACCACAAAGTCTTCCTCACTTCTCTTCACAATTTGAACGTATAGAAGAGTCATTTCTTATGTGTTGAGATCTTGTAATTAAATTTCTAAGATCTTTTATAGACGTGATTTATTCAATTAAAGTAAAAGAATTTAATTACACGTTATTACAACACAAGTTAATTCTAACACTAATCCAATATAACAATACAAGAAGGTATTTTCTAATAAATAATCATTAACATCTGATTTAAAGATAAGTAACAGTTGAAGTGTTTAAAGGTTGCTCAAGTAACCTTACATATGTTTTGTAGATATTTATATTTTCCTTTTTATTTTTTTTTACATATTTGTATTTTCCTCGGTATGTTTGTGTGTTTATATATATACGTGTGTGTGTGTGTGTGTTTACAATTTCCTAGGTATTTTTGTATATATTTGTGTGATACTTACATGCCAGACTAATGTACATATTTTTTAAACTATATTATTCTAAGGGGACTTCAGTCCCACCGACCCGTTATCACCTATGGTTCTGAAACTTGAAGGATTTCTAAAGCTTCAGAAAAAAGGCTACTCATATGGGTAGTCTGTGTAGCCAAGAATAAATAAATAAATAATTTTACAAATGAGTTTAAATATAAATTTTACTATAAATAAGCATATAGTTTAATTATTTTTACAATTATTATAAGTTTTTAAGCTATATGCTCATTTATAGTCTTTTTGGAGTAGCCGTTTATCCACTAGTTTTTGTTGAGTTTGGTTGTCTCTTAAGTATCTTGGAAAATTTTGTTTTGTATTTATTTATTGGTTATACTTTAATTTTTATTACATTTACTTTTTTGATTTATTATTACATTTTTATGTTATTATATTTTTGAGTTTTTTTCTCTTATCTCTTCTAATCAGCAGTTTAATATAACCTTCCTTGTCTGCATTTATGCAACCTCACGTTTCCTTCAATAATTATTTGGATGGGTAGATGAGGCGTCTCTTGTAAATGTATATATATAGCATTTCCAAGTCAATTTTAACCTTTTCAATTTCAAATTATTGTTTCGAATTTTTTTAAATTTTGATTTTTTTCAAAATACTATCGATTTTATGTTGAACTTTTGGATATCGATTTCTTCGATCGAACCAATTCGGATTTATTCGATATAAGGGTCTAGTATTATGTTATCGTGTGCCTCGTTTTTGAAAATAATCTCCATTTTAAGACTGTGTTTTGGTTTGTTTAAGTTTTAAGTTTTTTGGATTTATTCGGTATAAGGATCTACTTATATGCTATCGAAGACTAGAAGACAGTGGCGTAATCTTAAAATGGAGGCCATTTTCAAAATCTACTGCTCCGGAAACATAAGAATACACTCTTATATCGAATACATCCGAAAAACTTAAATAAGTCGAAACGCAGTGGCGTAATCTTAAAATGGAGGTTAGTTTCAAAATTTACGGCCCCGAAAACATATAAGTAAATTCTTATATCGAATAAATTCGAAAAACTTCAATAAACCGAAACGCAAAGGCGTAATCTTAAAATGGAGTTTATTTTCAAAAACTATGCTTACGATAACTGACCCATACATCGAAAAATTAAAAATAATTAAGTAAATAAAAAAGGTTGAATTTGAAATGGAAAAGGTTTAATTTGAAATGGAAAACGTTGAATTCGACTTGCAAAAAGCTTAATTTGATTTGGAAAAAGTTGAATTTGACTTGGAGCATTGAAAAAAAGTTTTAAAATATTCTTTTTTTTTTTTGGTGAAACATCCAAACAATTAGGAACTAGAATCGCACAACACATCACCAACTGTAAAAATCCAAAAAACATAAACACAACAGCCTTAGCACATCACAGTATAAAACTACAGCATAAATTTAACTTCAACAAACCACAAATAATTGGCACAGAACCAAAGAACACCAACAGAAAATTACTTGAAGCAATACACATTACAAAAAACAACAGAACTACAGTCAACTACAAAACAGACACTAAACATTTAGGAACCCATTATACAGACATACTGAACAAAATTAAAATTTAATAGTTGTGAAATCACAGACACATAAAATAACACTTACAACAACAATCAAAATAGTCAGATAAAACATTTAGATCCAAAGGTCAAATTTTCACTATGGCAGAAACCCAATTATTGGTCAAAAGGAGAATGTTGCTCTAGATGATAAAATTTAGAACATAAATTAGAAAATTGACGATGGAGCACATTATTATTATCATTAGAATTAAGGTAATTACAAATTTATTGTAACAAACATAATACAAATATGTAATGTAACAAGCACAATATTGTAACTTAAAAATTTTTTAGCCTTGCATCCACAAGAGTATTGAAATTGCAGTTCTGAAGATGGGAATAAAAGGTCCCGAAACGTAAACTAGACTGTAACATGTAATGTTAAAAATATACTCGTATTGTTAATAATTGGAAGTTATTATTGCCAAGCAACTTAAGTTTTAAAATATAATTTCTAAGGATCATTTTGTCAGAACGTCTTGAAAGTTTAACTTTTAATTATTCAAATTATTAAAATAAAGTTACATTAATTAAAAAAGGAACATTGTTACAGATAAATATAAAGTGTGCCTGATATGCTTGACATAACATTAGAAACTGCGTACTTGCAGATTATTTTCAACTGAAATATTATTTTTGTTTCATTCTCTTAGGAGGAGGTGTCCTTGCGCATACAATACTTGGAATTGACATTGATGAAGAATCTGGTGATACAAAGTTTCTTGTCCTTGATCCTCATTATACTGAAAATGATGACTTAATAAAGATCCAAAAAAAAGGTTTTGTTGGCTGGAAAGGCATTGATTTTTGGGATTCTAGATCATTTTATAATGTTTGCCTTCCTCAGAGGCCCAGGTGTTATTAATTTAATTTTATTAGTTAGTTTGTATACCGTGTTTATATTTTTTGTATTTACAAAATATTTAAACAAACCTCCTTTCCCTCTTAAAAAACAAAAACAATAATTAAAAGAAAATAACTCAAGATTCACAGATTTGTTATTCAGCATTTGAATTAATAACGATCTAAAAATTTAATATTGGCCATCTCATTTTGATAATATTACTTTACCATACTATGGATATGTGTTTTAAAAGTAATTTTTGTCTTTAATTATGCAGTCTTAAATTTCTATATAATTATATTTTACAATCATTCATACTTCTTCAGTACATGTTCTTACTCTGTGATCTTGATTTAAAATTCTTTCTGTTTGACTAAGTTACATGGAGGTTGATTTTATATTAAAACAACTGAGGCAGTGTCAAATTTAATAAAAAAGTAATTTTACATTCCTTAACAACTAGGTCTAATCCTTGATGGCTAGACTTGAGTGAATTGTTTTTCGTTAGCTTAAATATTTTGTTGCTCAACATATTACTGATTATATTTACAATTTCTCAGTATCAGATGTGATATTTTTTTGTTTTTCTTACGATCAAAAGAAAATGAGAAGATAAAAAATGCTAGGAATTGAAAATAAACACAAGTTAAACAGTATTTCAATAGTGAAACTTGTTAAGTTATGATTATATATTGAATATATATATATACCAATGTCAAATCCTCCAAAAAAAAGTTAATAGTCTTTGATGATTTAATCATTGAGTAAGTGTTATTTTGTGCTTAAATTAATTATGACTATAATCTTTATAAAATAGTTCCTTTTTCACACTTCACTGAAAGTTGAATGTTTTATATTTATTGATTCTTTATATGTTTATCTGTGTATATATTTAATGTGGTTGTTATGTCAGTTTTTTATTTTGTATTATTTGTACAAATATATATATATATTTTTTATTTATGAAATTCTCCCTATTTTTATATCTGACATCGTTAATCAACTGATCTAGAAAACAATTTCAGCCTTTACTATTTCAATGTTATTATTGTTGGTTAGTTCATTCATCTGTTTTGTTAGTATTTACATTTATTTAATGACATAATTCATGTAAGGAGTAATTTGGTAGTTTGATTATTTCAGCATTTTCAAAACTCTACTTGTTCTGATTTGGGGGTTGACTTTTATTTTGTGTGGACCCAAATATTTTAACCTTCTCACTTTGATAAGAAAAGGTTGTTAGCCTGTACGATAAGCTGTCTTTTCAGACCTATTTGTAATACATAATGATTTTAAATTCAAACCAACAACAAAAGTTAAATTTCTGGGAATAAAGTCAGGAATAATTTTACTTATAATATAAAACTATTCTAAAGTTCAACATTGATTTTACCAAAACAGTACTTAGTACACAGACCTTATTCAGAGGTACTATATACAGAAACCTTTTTGGTTTGTGCTTTTTTAAGAAAGTGTTTTATTAATTATTATTTAAACTCAAGGAATTATAATAAACTAATAAGATATAGTATTTTTTAAAAGACAATTATTTCATGGTGTCAATGTGGCTGTTTCAAATATTTTTATAATGCCTTTCAAAAAACATTATTATGTAAAGATATTACATAATTATTATATAATACATTTAATTGTATCCATATTTTATTTTAATGTAAATTTAGAAGTTAAAAAATAAAAACTTGTAGGTCAGACCAAACTCCCTTCAGAATCCAGGTCCTAGGGCTGCAGTCCCTACTGTCTCCTTGTCGTCAGGCCTAACTGTAAGCCACTAAGCATTTAAGAGCTAAGATTAAACATACCCTTTTTATTCTTGAAGGAAGTTAGTCGACTGTTCTACATATCATGGGTGATAAATATTCAGGACGCAGTCTTTTTTAAAATTTTTTATTTTATTTTTGCCAATGTTTCAACCAAAACATGTGGGTCATCTTCAGGGCTGAAAATGCTTTTTTAAAATTACAATCAGAGATATAATAGTATACGAATTATAAATAATAAACTATAGTGATTGATGGCACATGAATCTTAACTAATATTGTAATACACATATTAAAATAGTTATGCAAACTAAAAATAAAAAATAATGTATATAATCCATTTATATAAATTTGTAATATTTTCTCTTACTAACTGTGGTTTGAGCACTGAGGTTGTTCATGTACTGACACATGTTTGGTAGGTAAGTAAAAAGGTTAGGGAGGGAGGATTTCCCAGTTGTCCTTTTTCAGATAGCAAAAGGTAAGTAAACAAGGTTAGAGGGGAAGGGAGGGTAACATTTGTTGTTTGTAGAATATACATAATTTGGTGACAAATATTTCAGACGTGTACAATATTTGAGTTATTTCATATGGTTACAGAAATTTGACTATTGACTAGTATTAAAATGAACATAAGCAAAAGGTGCCAATTAATATAAATATGCTCTAGCCCAAACTGTAATTCTTCTTATATAGGAGAAACCAAAAACTATTTAAAAAAACGAATCTATCAACACAAATATAGCATCTCCCATCGAAACAAGTTTGCCTCAAAACAAGCGGAAAACGCCATAACCCTAAACCACACATTTGATTTCGAAAACCCAACCATACTTGCCACAGTAACCAATCACCAAAAACGACTATTATCGGAATCTATATTCAGTAATTTGGAAAAAAATAATCCGGTAAACCATAAAGTAGACAAAGAAAAGATCTGCAGTACATATTCAAATATTTTCCGCCTCCTGAAACAATAGCCTATGTAATCCTTAATATAACACAAACTTATATTATGATAAATATTGTATAAAATGTTGTCCTAAGTATCATCTGCATACATTGAAATTGTCTTTATTATAAAAATTATTCATCTGACCCTTGTATACTTGCTATCAAACTAAGCTATATTTATATTAATTGGCACCTTTTGCTTATGTTCATTTTAATACTAGTCAATAGTCACATTTCTGTAACCATATGAAATAATTCAAATATTGTACACGTCTGAAATATTTGTCAGCAAATTATGCATATTCTTTTTTTTTTTTTTTTTTTTTTTTTTTTTTTTTTTTTTTTTTTTTTTTTTTTTTTTTTTTTTTTTTTTTTTTTTTTTTTTTTTTTTTTTTTTTTGGTCCTTCCCTTCCTCGCCGTTAAGGCTATACGGGATTTTCCCGGGCCAGGGAGTGTGGGCGGGGATTTAAAAGACTCCCCCGGCACCGGGACGCGAACTCGTGACTATTTTTATATCTTTGTATTCATATGTCAGGTTGCCAGGCAACGGCGGTGCAGTGCACACGCTTTAGCCCATTCGGCTACCCCGCCCAAATTATGCATATTCTATAAACAACAAATGTTACCCTCCCTTCCCCTCTAACCTTGTTTACTTACCTTTTGCTATCTGAAAAAGGACAACTGAGAAATCCTCCCTCCCTAACCTTTTTACTTACCTACCAAACATGTGTCAGTACATGAACAACCTCAGTGCTCAAACCACAGTTAGTAAGAGAAAATATTACAAATTTATATAAATGGATTATATACATTATTTTTTATTTTTAGGTTGTATAACTATTTTAATATGTGTATTACAATATTAGTTAAAATTCATGTGCCATCAATCACTATAGTTTATTATTTATAATTAGCAGTCGTCTCTGATTGTAATTTTAAAAAAACATTTTCAGCCCTGAAGATGACACACATGTTTGGGTTGAAACATTGGCAAAAATAAAAAAAAATTTTTATAAAAGACTGCGTCCTGAATATTTATCACCTATACCCTTTTTATTGAATTTGATGAAGGCAGATGTGTATATATGTACTATAAAATGGTCAATGGATGGGCAAATGAATTTTACCTGTGATTATTGAATTTTATTTTATTTCTTACTTGATTATTGGATAGTTCTTATTTTAAGTTTATATTACGGTGATAAGAAAGTAATGTCGTTTCTGACCATTTCACTATTTGATTGTCATTTGGCAGCTCATTGTATACATCGCTGTCATGGCAAAGACAATCTAAGGTTATAGTGACTTCTTTAGCTGCAAATAATTAAATTAATTAATTTTTTTTTAATTTTTGATGACATGTTCAGCCAAATACTGAAGAGGTACATATACGCATCGCATGCTTTTTGAGTTTCGCAAGGTTAGTAATGTAACAGTTGCTACCAAAAACATTTGCGATGCTTATCCAAATGCATTAGACGTTCATAAATGCCAAAGGTAATTTTTCAAGTTCAAATCCGTTAATTTTGATCTTTTTAACTTGTATCAATCTGGAAGACCAACACCATTAGACAATGATGTGTTAAGGGTAGAGGTCGAAGCAAATATGTGTCAGACAATCGAGGAATTGTCAAACAGTCATAATTGACCTTAGTCGACCATCCAAGAAAATTTTCAGCTGATTTAGAAACCACCTTATGCAACTTTACTAACCATATAACCACCTTATTAACAGTACAATACAGAAATGATTTTTGATCGGTTGATTACCAGAGATGAAAAATAGGTCCTATATGATAATCCAAAATGCATAAGACAGTGGCTCTCTCCAAAATAATCGCCATGAAGTACTGCTGAACCAGGTTTACACCCCAAAAAGGTCCTTTTATGTGTTTGGTGGAGTATTCGCGGCGTTATTCATTTTGAAGTGCTGAACCCTGGACAAACTGTGAATGCAGGCCTTAATTGAGAACAATTGGATCGTGTAAATCAATCTTTAATTGAAAAGTGGCCAGCGATTGTCAACAGAAAAGTTATTCTGCAACACGAAAATGCAATATAACACTGCATAAGACAACCCTGGAAAAAAACAATGAATTGGGGTGGGAGGTATTGCCTCATCTACCATACTCGCCCAATGTTGCACCATTGGATTCCCATTTGTTTAGATCATTTCAACACTTTCAAGAGGCAAAAGATTTGCAAATTTCATTAATGTCCAAAATTCCATCTCTATATATTTTGCTCTAAAACGAATTGATGTTTATCGACCCTGCATTGAAAATTTGCACACTATATGCTAAAAGGTAGTTGATAATGAGGGTGATTCTACCAATGATTGAAAATAAAAACTCGTGTAAAATTTATATGTTTGAATTCATTATAAGAAAACAACATTACTTACCGGTTCCCCTAATATTATTATTTTTAATTTTGTATTCCCTTTAAGTGTATATTATTAATTTTAATTTTGTATACACTTTATTTGTAGTAGGGTTTTTTTATTTTTTATTTATTTTATTGCTTTTTAATGAAGTTCTGTAAGTAGGCGATGATTTTTACTGATATTGTAATCTAAAACCTTGGATCTCACAACCTAATTATAGTTTTTATTTTTTCCCTGCATAGATTAATTATTAATATCAACACACATTATAATTATTATGGCTGCAAGTGTATAGAGCATTTGAACCTTCAGTTTTAATTAGATTACCTTAAAACAAAAATACAAACTCAGTTTTATTATTATAGGTAAGAAATAAAATTATTATCAAGAGCAATAAAGTCTTTATGTACTAGCTTCTATGTCAAAATTGAAGTCAATTTTGCTAATTAATCTATTCAGACAAAATATTGATTTAATTATTTCAATCTTTTCAAAATATTCTGAAACTACATGGAAGTATCAACTTTTCATCATAATTATTCCTGAAGGTATCTTGTTTTGTAAAGGTATTTTAAATACTCAATAAAATATTAATCCTTTGTCATTCTCTGCCAGATACTGAGATTCTTATATTTCTGTTGATCATTGAACAATTTTCAAATAAATATTTTTGTTTTTAATATATATATGTATATATATAGATGGATTCGTACATAATATATGGCACTTAGGGCCACAGCATTGAAATCCTTTTTGATGACTACAAAGAATAATCTATAAGTGTAAAAAATATATATGCTGCTTGCTACTTGTTATTCACTGTAGTTAGTTAAGAAAAAAATACTTTTA